AATAATCAGTGGTGTTAATCATTGAGGAAACCTTGTGGCTGAAATGAAAAATAGAAACATTGCCAGGGCCTAGAAGGAATTTGAATGATATAGAAGCCTTTCACGTATATCCTTGGGAAAAAGCAAGGGAAAGTTTTGTGGGCTTCTGCATCCTTCATGATCTTTCTTTGTGGGTAAGGCAGGATGCTGCAGAATGAGAGGGCTTTATGACCTACTCCAGGACAAAGCAGGTTGGAAGATTTCATCAAAGAGTGGGACCCAGTATAATGTTTTCATGAATGTGCTTCATGTCCTCTGATTATATTCACCCATTACCCTTACTTGCCCCTCACATCCACCCCACCAGTCCCCTTCCTCTTCAGAAATAGACTCTCTTCCTCATCCATTTCTCATAGCTATTATCTTTTATACCTAGACTGTGCACATGAGAGAGTCTTGTTTTATGGCAAAGTAAAATTATATACATATATAAATAAATAATTACTTGGGAGTTTGTTTTTAATTAAGCAATAAGGCTAGATAGGGCCTGGCTGCCACTTCATCAAGCTACTCCTAGGGTGTAGGGATGAATTCGGTCCACATGAGTGCCTCAAATCAATTCAGAATGTGATTATATTATTACTCTCTGGAATTAATGCAAGATAAGCATGTCCAGCACTGTCCTACTGCAGGAGTGGAAGTTCTCATGCACTAGGGGTCTACTGCTCACTGCTTAGAGAAGTGGCAAGTGGCAGATGACAGACCAGATCTGTCCCCTATGCCCCTATCCTCAGATGCCTGCTGTGTGGGTACCAATGGACAGCCATCTAGCTGAACCGAGGTTAACATCATTAAATGAAAAGGGACAAGTACACAGAAATGAGATGTTACAACAGAGAGCTAAGTAGATGGGGGTAGGAATCTCCCGTAAACATGTGTTCTCCTTTCCTGCCCAGTTGTCGCTGCTTCCTGGAAAACTCCATCTTGTTAATGCTGCAGAGACTGGAGGATCCTCTCCCTGGGGATTGTTTGCCGCATTGGGAATAAAACTCAAAGTTTCATGAATCCATCCTTCATTTGAGCTACAAAAGAAGGAGAAAAGGGAGATAGGCAAGACAAATAGATGCCATGTAGATCAGAAAGAAGTGACAGGTATGGGCTTTCTCTGCTAATTCAAGACAATATGGAAATACATATGTCAATAGAAATGCGTTAATAAATAAGACAGAGTGTAACGAGTATGGTTTTTTCCTCCCACCACCGCTGGTCTTGTCCTACAGCCGCGCCAGCCCCAAATAACACACAGAGACTCTGTATTTGATACAATACTGTTGGCTCGGTTACTTGTTTCTTATCGGCTAGCTCTGTCTTTAATTATGAACCCATTTTTGCTGATCTATGTATTTTCACATGGCCTTCTCTTACTGGGGAGGTGGCTGGCATCCAGCTCTCTCCCGACCCTCCATCTTGACTCCTCCTTCCTACTTTCTATTTCCTCCTTGTCTCCTAGTCCCTCCTATCTTCCTTTCCTATTTACCAACAGTGCTTTATTCATTAACCAGTATGAGAAACATATATACATAATGGCATCTCCCATCATCTCCTCTTTTCTGTCTAAATAAAAAAGAAGGGTGAATGACCAGGCAGTGAGTTGTCTCTGTCTTTTCTAGAGCTTATATATTGTCCTTCTGTGGTCTGTGATGGAGATAAGACAGATAGTTATAGTTATAATTTTCCTTAGTTAGGATTAAAGATAAGTTACTTAGAATTAAGACACATAAAGATAGGATAGATAATGGAATATTTTCTTCAAATCTTGCTAAATGTTAATGGACTAAGTATTGTTAACTGTGATTCTTACTTGATAAGTGTTGTGTTATATATTTCACTATATTGAATTTAAAACACTTCTTTTTTGACAGAAAAGAGGTGATGATGGGAGATTTCATTCTGTAAATATGTTTCTCATAATTGTTAATGATTAAAGCACTATTGGCCAATAGGAAAGCAAGACAGGATGGACCTGGAGACAATGAGAAAAGAGGAAGTAGTAAGGAGGAGTCAAGATGTAATGTCTGGAAAGAGCAGGATACCAGCCAGCTCTCAGGTAATATGAGAACACGTGGAATTACATAGATTAAAACATATGAGCTAATAATTAAGACATACTTACCCAATAAGGAACAAGTAACTGGCCAAAGAATTCTATCAAATAAAGAGTCTGGGTGTGTTAGTTGGGGATGGTGTGCCAGGGAGACAAGACCAGTGATGGAGGAAAAACCTACTCTTTACAAGGTGGCATGACCATCCCTGACTTAAACTCTACTACAGAGCTATACTTCTGAAAACAGCTTGGTATTGACCTCAAAATAGATAGCTAGACCAAAGGAATCAAATTGAAAGTCCAGATATATAAACCCACACACCTATGAACAACTGATTTTCGAAAAAACAGCTTACAAAATACAATGGGGCGAGGAAACCATTTTCAACAAATGGTGCTGGCACAATTGGATTTTGGTGTATAGAAGACTGCAGATAGACCCATGTCTGTTTGCATGCACAAAACTAACGTCCAAATGGGTCAAAGACCTCAACATCAATCCAGTCACACTGAATCTCTTAGAAGAGAAATTAGGATGTACCCTTGAAAAAAGTGGAATAGGAGACCACTTCCTGAACAAAAATACACGAGGAAATGAGATGAACAATTTCTTCAAACTTAGAAGCTTCTGTAAGGAAAAGGACACAGTGGACAAGACAAATGCAGCCCACATACTGGGAAAACATTTTATATTTACTTCTTTTTTAATTTATTTTATATAACCAAGTCCATTTAAATGAAAACAAACTTTTATAGACAATATTTGGGAATATGGGTGACATTCTTTCCAAACTACCACCAGCTGGTAAGGAGCAATGTTATGGCGCAAAAATTCTGGCTGCAATCTGTAAGGCTGCATGGCCACCTGTTTTGAATGTATGGTCACCTGCTAGTCTGTTTCAGGTGATGTGGCTTGATCAAACCACATTAGTCTGGAAGGAATGCACAGCTTTTCATTTTCTGTGGAAACAAAAATAGAAATCCTTTTCCCCAGTAAGTTGCCCTTCAAATTAAATTTTGGAGTCAAAGCATTTTTTCTTTTTATTTAATTTATTAATTTACATGTTGATCCCTGTTCATTCTCCCTCCTTCCCTACCTCCCGTATAAACTCTCTGCCCTCTCACATGCACCCTAACCACCCTCCCCTCCCATCCCCCTTCCCATTTCCATATGTAGGGGAATGATATCCAGTTCAGGTCATGTAGATCTGACAGGTCATGTGAAGTAGGGACTAGGGCTTCTCTCCTGTCTCTAGATTAAGGCAGTTATCCCTCCATGAGAATGTTTTAGCATGGCCTTTTGTGCACCACATATACATCCTGGCTACACTACCTGAGGCCCCTTAGACTGCTCAGTCCTTCTGGCTAAGACCCACATTCAGAGGGGCCTGAGTCTGTCCCATGCTGGGTCCCAGCTATTATCAGTCTGGTGGCCCGTTAGCTCCACCATGTTCAGGTAAACTGTCTGTATATGTTTCTGCTGCCTGGTCTTGTACTCTCCATCTGCATATGGGCTCTACTTTGACTCAGTGTTTATGGATGGGTGTTTGACCACGATTCCTACAGTTATTAGATGAATGCTCAATCTGCTCAGTCAGGCACCTGTAAAACAGAATTACTGTTAGCAAATAACCCCTAGAATAATCACAATCCTTGGCAACACTAAGCAGCATTCTCCAAGCAGAGAATCCCTAAACTCCTTACATGGTTTAATAAATCCTCCACCATTTATCGCCAGATATCATCTTACACTTACGCTGGAGAGGTTGTGCAGTAAGGTGAGCACTGCTCCACTGCTGGTGGGAGCACAAACTTGTACTGCCACTGTGGAAGTCTGGATAAGCATTTCTGGAGAATGGGAAAGGATCTAACTCAAGGCATAGCAGTAGTGCTCTTGGGCATATGCCCACAGGATGCACAGACATACCATACAGCATCAGCATGTGTAAAAGCCAGACCCCCGAAAACAACCTAATTGCCCCTCAAGGGAAGAATGGACTGGGAAAATGTGGTACATGTAAACAATGGAGTGACCCTCAGTGGGAAACTTTAAGTGCAATGGAAGGGGAATGGGCACTTTGGAGCCTGGTGTGACTCTTAGGATGCTTCCCAAACTGCCACTACCTAGCACAGTTGAATGGACTAAAGCGGCCGTTAGCTAACAGAAACAGCATGGGATCCACATACTGATTGTACAATTTTTATTCACAATATATATTGCCTTTGGTGAACAGTGATGCATACAACCACACAGATAGAGAGAGGGCTTCAATCCTCTGGGTCCCCAGTTGGAGATCACTGAGAAGTCAACCATGTATATCGAGAGCTGAACTCATGAACTGCTCCTCTGCAGCGGAGTCAATTGCTTGGGCAACCTACTAAAACCTCTGGTCTGATCGCCTGAATTTAAATAAGAAAAAAAAAAGAGAGAGAGAGAACAAGAAGAAGAAGAAAAGAAAAGAAAAGAAATGAAATGAAAAGAAAAGAAAAAGAAAAAGAAAAAGTGTCTTCTTGCTCATCCATGTCTCTTATGAGCAAATGTTCACATTTGCTTCCTCCTTTCCTCTAAATCCTAGATCACATGTTCTGTAAACTGTAGCCCACACAGGTGTATTCCCAGGACACTAATTGGGAGGGGGATGGGGTCAGGAACTTAGCAAAACCCCAGTATGGAAATGTTGAAGACAAAGCAAAGCAGTACAGCAAGTGGGTAGAGTATGCAAGAATACGGTGCTCCCCCTTACACAACCTGCCTTTCAAATCATGTAGTGCGGTATTAAAGTCCTGAGCCCACATGCTGTCTTTCCCAAGATTGTCAGTGAATGCTACAGATGTCCCGAGCTCTACCCGGGTGTCCTTGGTACCAACTCTGGCTGCTGTTTCTCCAATGCACCTGTAGGTCACTGCGGAGTGGATCCTAAGATTGCTTGAGGCGTTTGAGAGGGGGCTCCAGTGAGGAGCAGTGAGCTGAAGCCAGGGAGCTGTATGCTTCAGCCACTAAATGGGGAAATGAGCCCACCATTGTCTTCCAGCTTGAGGTCTCAGAGACCTCGGAAGCATGAGCTGTAATGAAATGCAGTGCCTGGGTTTTCAGCTGCCCTGCAGTGTGCTGGTCAGCCAGGATGAGAGTCTGGGCAGCATTCTCCACGCAGAGGTCCCTGCCCAAGGCATCCTCGCACATGACCTTCAACCGATCCAGGCCGTACTTGTCTGCAGCTGCCAGCACAGCTTCTGCCATGCCTTGGAGGGCTGGTGCCTTTCCGGTGTACATGAAGCCCATCATTGCCTCGAAGACTTGGGGCTCCAGATCGTGGATCTCAACGCGGTTTGTTCTCCTCTCCTCCAAGTCATGTTGAAACATGGCTCTGAAAACCGCAGAGCGAGCTGCTAAGATGGCCTTGTGAGCCTGGAACTCCTGGCCAGCTACCACCAGGCAGCAGTCTGTGAAGAGGGATTTCTCCCACAGCTCTCCTAACTCATCTGCCAACGTGCACCTTGGCGTCTGGAACTCTGGCTTCGTGCCCTCATCAGGGATGTCGAAGGTGTCTTTGACCACAGTCACCCAGCACCGGAGGCTCAGCTCATTGTCTTCCAGGAGCCAAGGCTCCCTGGAAAGAAGGAAATCTCGACGGACGAACTTTTTGAATCCCCAGTGTTGATGTTGCTGGAACATATAGAATCTTAGGCTCGTCATACCTTGGGTTTGCTCTCCTTCGGAATTGATGATCCAAAAGTGGAATTTTGCCCATACTGGGCTCTTTGGGCAGCTGAGCAACGATAGGTAAACCGACGAGTAATCCTGGCTCTCTTCATCGACCCCGTTCGGGTGTATTTTCAGACACCACTGGTCTTTGTCACTGGCTCCCGAGGAGAAGGTTGGGCTTTTAATGGCTTCGCTGCTTTCCCACAGGAAGAAATGGAAGTTGCTTATGGTCCAACTGTAGCAGAATTCCAGGAAGCTGATTTCTGTGTAGCCCCAGCTCTGGCACTCGGCTGCCATGTCCGCGGACTTATTTGCTTGTGGTCCTTTGAAGGTTAACCTAGATACGAAATGAAGAAGTACGACTTTTCGTCTTCAAGCTGTGGTGTGGGAAGTCACAAATACACATATCTACAACACACACACACACACACACACAAACACACACACACACACACACACACACACAAACAAAATAAATAAATAAAAGAGCTAGACACTGATATTGGGTTTTGAGCTTCGAGCGTAAAGCAGGGGAGACAAAGCCACCAAGCCACTATCCCTTGCCTACCTCAGTCTCCCTGAGCTCTCCCCAAGCATCAGAATGCTTCCTCTCCTCAGACCCTGGAGATAATCCTGAGACTGAGACTGAAAAAAACAAGACACCGCTCCTATGTTTTCTACGACTCTAGTTCAGTGATGAAGCACAAGAGCTCTCCTAACCTTTTAGACACGTTCCATCTCGGGTGTAGCCCTGCTTGTACTTGAACAAAGAGAGAACCATCTATCTGCTTTGTCTCCCGAGTGTTCAGAGGAAAGTGGTCTGCTTGGCTTCCATGCCTCACTAGTCCAGCTGCTTTGCCATTTTCATCGCTCTAGGAATCCGTAAACTGCTTACATGGCTTTAATAAATCCTCCACCACTTATCGCCACAGATAGCTTTCACATTTCTGTTTTCTGCTTCCCTCTCTGTTCCCACCACCTTGGGGCTGGAGACTCGGGGATGTCTGAAATTTTCTGCCCGGACCCCAAAGTTTGTTTCAGAGAAGACACTTTAAGCTACTTGGGAGAGTCACATCTCTCCATTTTCTTGTCTATATTGAATCTTGGGTCATACTCAGCTGTTGAATGGCTCCTAGCATTTCATAAATCAAATGTGTTGTACAGAGCTTCTCTAGGGCAGGAGGTTATATATAGAAGGGATCTCTGCCTGCATGAAGAAAAGGGATTCATTAAGAGGCCCCGGGCTGTAAGTCTAAAATGCAGTCCTTACTCTGTAAGGCTGGGGTAGACCTACCTTGTCTGCTGGTCTTCAGTATTTGCAGGAATTCAGAAAATCAGAAAATTGTTAGCTAATGCCAGTGAGGGAAAAGACTTCCTTCAAGGCGCAGAACAGTGGGCAAAGAGGAAGACCTTCCTCTGTGTAAGTCCCTTTATGGGCTCCTCCCAGAGGGCATGGCCTCATTAAAGCCCAAGGAGAGGATTAGAGGATTATCGGTCTTCTGGCCTCAAGATGAGGGTTAGGGTGGGTCTGTCCCTGGGACTCCAATGTTCCTGCTGCAAGTTTAGCTACCTAATTCACCTGCAGCGGAGTATTTCCCAGTGCAATGATCTCAATGTCAAGATGTTAGTTTATTGCACATGAAGTCAGGTGAGGAACCGGGAGTATCTTGTGCTTATTGTGTCAAGTGAAGAAACGAAGATCTGAAACTCTTCTCGATCCGTTCATGCTGACAGAGTAGATTCCCGTTTCTCAATTACTCGCTAAATACTGGGCATTTCACTTGTTTTCCTCTAAGTTATTGTTTTCATATTATCTTTAAATTTTTCTTACACCTACGTCATTTTACATCCCAATCCCAGTTCCCTCTCAATCCCGCAGGAATGCCCACATTCTCCCAACCCCAAGCCCAATTCACTCATCTGGATGGGGAATTCCCACATGGGGAATCAGCATAGTAATTGACATCACTTGAGACCAGATAAAGAATTTCCCTCCTATACCTAGGTTTAGGAAGGGATCTCTCCACAGGGAATTGGCTCTGTTTCCTGCCAGCTGTGGTGCCCAAAACTGCCCAAGACACCCAAATGTCATACAGACTCCCGAGGCCAAGTTCAGTCTTCAGTTTTAGGAAGCTCTCCAGCTGGCAGCCCTTAGGCAGTGACCTCCCACTCGAATCTTGCTTGGGTCTGCTGTTTCTTTGTGTATCCAGGCCAAGGCCTTTCTTTACCCGCCTTGCTCACTTTATCTCTCCTCCTCCTTCTGTAAGACTGGACTGCAGGAGATTGGCCTGTGCTTAGCTGTGCTTCTCTTCATCAGATCCCATCAGGTACTGGATGAAGTTTCGACATTGACAAAGAAGGGAGTCATCAAGCTGATTACAAGGCAAGGGCAGTTAAGACTCCCTATCCCCTGAGGCTTAGGTTCTAAGCAGGGCTCTGCATTGTGGATTCATTGGAATTTCCCGAGAGCCTGGGCTCGGTTTCACCCCCAAAACATCTCCCACCTTCTATCGAGGTATCCCTTCTCTTGCTCAGTTCCTCTCTTGCTTGCCCCAAGTTGAAATCCCCAGACCCTCCTGATCTATACTCTGCTCCCCCTTTCCCCTGTGCACTCCCCTAACACCCTTGGGCCTATTTCACTCAGGAGATCTTGTCCATTTCCACATTCTGGGCAGGGAGTGTACAAGTAGGGCTGTCTTAAGGCCCTCCTACATTCCTGGCTTCTCTGTGTTTGTGGAGTATAGGCTGCTTGGCCTTGGCTTGTCCTCTTGTGAGTGAATTCACGAGATACAGAGCTAAGCAGAGAATTCCAACTCAAGAACCTCAGAGGACCAAAAGGCCAATAAGGAAGCGATCAGGATCCAAGATCCTGAGCCATCAGAGAAATCCAAATCAAACGTCCTCTCAGATATCATCTTACACTTACGCTGGAGAGGTTGTGCAGTAAGGTGAGCACTGCTCCACTGCTGGTGGGAGCACAAACTTGTACTGCCACTGTGGAAGTCTGGATAAGCATTTCTGGAGAAGGGGAAATGGATCTAACTCAAGGCATAGCAGTAGTGCTCTTGGGCATATGCCCACAGGATGCACAGACATACCATACAGCATCAGCATGTGTAAAAGCCAGACCCCGAAAACAACCTAATTGCCCCTCAAGGGAAGAATGGACTGGGAAAATGTGGTACATGTAAACAATGGAGTGACCCTCAGTGGGAAACTTTAAGTGCAATGGAAGGGGAATGGGCACTTTGGAGCCTGGTGTGACTCTTAGGATGCTTCCCAAACTGCCACTACCTAGCACAGTTGAATGGACTAAAGCGGCCGTTAGCTAACAGAAACAGCATGGGATCCACATACTGATTGTACAATTTTTATTCACAATATATATTGCCTTTGGTGAACAGTGATGCATACAACCACACAGATAGAGAGAGGGCTTCAATCCTCTGGGTCCCCAGTTGGAGATCACTGAGAAGTCAACCATGTATATCGAGAGCTGAACTCATGAACTGCTCCTCTGCAGCGGAGTCAATTGCTTGGGCAACCTACTAAAACCTCTGGTCTGATCGCCTGAATTTAAATAAGAAAAAAAGAGAGAGAGAGAGATCAAGAAGAAGAAGAAAAGAAAAGAAAAGAAATGAAATGAAAAGAAAAGAAAAAGAAAAAGAAAAAGTGTCTTCTTGCTCATCCATGTCTTTTATGAGCAAATGTTCACATTTGCTTCCTCCTTTCCTCTAAATCCTAGATCACATGTTCTGTAAACTGTAGCCCACACAGGTGTATTCCCAGGACACTGATTGGGAGGGGGATGGGGTCAGGAACTTAGCAAAACCCCAGTATGGAAATGTTGAAGACAAAGCAAAGCAGTACAGCAAGTGGGTAGAGTATGCAAGAATACGGTGCTCCCCCTTACACAACCTGCCTTTCAAATCATGTAGTGCGGTATTAAAGTCCTGAGCCCACATGCTGTCTTTCCCAAGATTGTCAGTGAATGCTACAGATGTCCCGAGCTCTACCCGGGTGTCCTTGGTACCAACTCTGGCTGCTGCTTCTCCAATGCACCTGTAGGTCACTGCGGAGTGGATCCTAAGATTGCTTGAGGCGTTTGAGAGGGGGCTCCAGTGAGGAGCAGTGAGCTGAAGCCAGGGAGCTGTATGCTTCAGCCACTAAATGGGGAAATGAGCCCACCATTGTCTTCCAGCTTGAGGTCTCAGAGACCTCGGAAGCATGAGCTGTAATGAAATGCAGTGCCTGGGTTTTCAGCTGCCCTGCAGTGTGCTGGTCAGCCAGGATGAGAGTCTGGGCAGCATTCTCCACGCAGAGGTCCCTGCCCAAGGCATCCTCGCACATGACCTTCAACCGATCCAGGCCGTACTTGTCTGCAGCTGCCAGCACAGCTTCTGCCATGCCTTGGAGGGCTGGTGCCTTTCCGGTGTACATGAAGCCCATCATTGCCTCGAAGACTTGGGGCTCCAGATCGTGGATCTCAACGCGGTTTGTTCTCCTCTCCTCCAAGTCATGTTGAAACATGGCTCTGAAAACCGCAGAGCGAGCTGCTAAGATGGCCTTGTGAGCCTGGAACTCCTGGCCAGCTACCACCAGGCAGCAGTCTGTGAAGAGGGATTTCTCCCACAGCTCTCCTAACTCATCTGCCAACGTGCACCTTGGCGTCTGGAACTCTGGTTTCGTGCCCTCATCAGGGATGTCGAAGGTGTCTTTGACCACAGTCACCCGGCACCGGAGGCTCAGCTCATTGTCTTCCAGGAACCAAGGCTCCCTGGAAAGAAGGAAATCTCGACGGACGAACTTTTTGAATCCCCAGTGTTGATGTTGCTGGAACATATAGAATCTTAGGCTCGTCATACCTTGGGTTTGCTCTCCTTCGGAATTGATGATCCAAAAGTGGAATTTTGCACATACTGGGCTCTTTGGGCAGCTGAGCAACGATAGGTAAACCGACAAGTAATCCTGGCTCTCTTCATCGACCCCGTTCGGGTGTATTTTCAGACACCACTGGTTTTTGTCACTGGCTCCGGATCAGATGGTTGGGATTTTACTGGCATCCCTGCTTTTCTGCAGGAAGAAACGGAAGTTGCTTATGGTCCAACTGTAGGAGAATTGCAGGAAGCTGATTTTTGTGTAGCCTCATCTCTGTCACTAGGCTGCCATGTCCACGGATTATAAGGGTATAAGTTTACGTAGTGGGTGTAGAACATGTGAAAATCAAGAAAATTTTGTTTTTTGATAAACACAAATAAATTTGTTTTGACCTTCTGAAATGTGGATTTTGATCTTTAGATGGACATAAGTAGAGTAAGATAATTACAAATACCAGGTATCCATGCAAATAATTATAGAAAAGATATTAGAGTTTACATGAATGATTCTGTTGTGTGTTTTGGGAATGTTTTCATACAGATATTTGTGTTCTCTTTCAATTTCTCTATCATGCAATGTAACATTAAGTAAAAGAATACCAATGCTTATCATATTATGTTTGGTAATAATAAAAGAATTTCCCTCAATGTACTTTGCAATCTCTTTTAAGTTGATAATGAATTTGTGGTTGTTTGCAGGGGCATTTGTATTAAGTAGAAGAAATTGAAACTTTTAAATATATATATTGCATTTTCACTTTTCTATGTGAAATAATTTAATTAGGTATGGTGGAATTATGAGCTTGTTGTTATTTTCTTTTCAAAATTGATCAGGATATAAGGTAACATGATAGTATATCATGTTGACAAAGGATTGACTTGTAATGGCTATTCTAATTTTTCAATCTGAATACATCTATAACTAGTGAAAATCTGGAAACGAATGGCACACAAGTCAGAGTAATTTGATTAATTTGAAGTAGGAAGAACATCTTCTTATCTGTATATTGAGGTAGTGAGAATCTTTCCTTTATTCTGGGTCTTGATGCTGGAAGACATACTTTTAATTGGACTCCACCTTCTGGTGGAAGCCTATGGAAAGCATGGACGAAAAAGTTTTTGTGTTTTTCCTGCTTGCACATGTCTAGTATGTTTGCCGACTTTCTTGCAACCTCAAGGAAGGTGATGGGGCCTAGTCAATATTCAAATGACTTGACAGATTTTGTTGACCCCTCCTGGAAGGCATCACCCTCCCTGTGGAGTGGGGACAATACGGGATGAAAGGGCAAGTGGGTACATGGGGTAGTGAGAGAGGGAAGGATGGAAGAATGTATAGAGGGAGAGCGGGATGGAAGTATGGAGAGGGAACTGGATACGATGTGCAAAATAAGAATATAAATAAATATAAAAAAAGAAAAAAGAAAAGCATGGAAGATAAATTTTTCCTACTTGCTTATGTCTTGTTATTAAATTTGCAGGCATGCTTGCCATCATTGGAACTATAGGCTTGTCCTTTAGGAATACAGTATTTACTCAAGAACACCTGAGGCTACACAAATTATAGACTGTGCAATATTAGGGTTATGGAATTTCTTTGTACAACCAGTAATTGTTGGATTAGCTGGATCACATGGTGTAAGTCACTCTAATAATGAGCCACAAGCATTTATATTGAGAGATTTAAATTCTTTTGTCTATTCGGGTATATGAATATGTGGTGGTGGCAAATTCTGACGGTCTTATACTGTCTAATTATCTCTGTCTCTCAGTCTCTGTCTCCCTCTGATTCTTTGTAATTCTCTCACTTTCTCCATCTATCTTTTTCTTGGCCTATGTGCCTGTCTTTCTGTCTCTCGTAATCTGTCCTTTTTTTACATTGTTCTTTGACTGTCTCTTTCTATATAATTCCCTAAGTTGCTCCACATATTTGTATGTACTTGTTTGCCTTCACCTGTTCTTATGTGATCTTGTCCATTTGTTTTCCTGTGATGACCAGTAGCGTTCTCTATTATGAGGACACTTTTGCTAACAAAATCCTGTAGCAACTGGTGTTGGGTACTTGAATACCTTCGATAATCTGTTAGATTAACCACAGAATTACCTACCCCAAATGAAGGCTCTAACTCTATTATTTCTAAAATGAGAATTGTATGAAAAAAAAAAAAACAGTGATCTTGCTATTGGGAATCTCATGTCTCTTGTGAGACACTGAGTACAGTCTCTAGGAATATGGTCTTGTTTTATTCCCATGTGTGAGAGAAGCACCACAAGAGAGAATCTTTCTGGAGAAGTAGGCTTGGAATTGCTCAGTTGATTGAATCATGTCCTCTATGCTTAGTGGCCACCTTCAGGCATGATGAACAGGAGAGAGTTGAAAGATTACGACATTTTACAGGACATATTTTGAAGAAGAAACATCTAAAACTGCCCCTTTAATAACTGTTCATTAATTCTGCTGGAAGAAAAAAAACTCCATCAATTTTATAGAATGCAACATATGACTTCAAGTTCAAAATTTGGAGATCACAGAAGTAATCTGAAAGACTTTAGTTTGCAGAGCAAGGATGTAGGAAAGGGGCAGGAGAATAGTTCTTGCAAGCAGAATATAGAAATTCACAAAGAATGTACGTTGACATGTGTGGAAAGATCAGGAATTATGAGAACAAGAACTATTACTATGGTGATGGGGCTAGTGGTTATATGGTAGGCTGATCTTGTTAAATGGGGCTGATTACTGAATCATCACACCTTCGTGGAATAGCTGAGGTCTCTAAATGTAGAGCCGAGAGAAAGACAGAATATAAAAGACTTTAGCTTGCAAAGAAAAAAGGGATAAGAAGTTTCTCACAGGTCTTGTCCCACTACAAGGAAATAGGCCCCAACCTTGGAACAAATGGTTCCAGATAAACAGCACTTTCTGGGTAACACCTGGCCAACTGACAGTCTGGAGACTTTCCAAGGTACATTCTATGTTATTCCTTTGAAGAACATGACACACCTGGGTGATATCTCAAACATAATATCATACTTTGTACTCAATCACCTTGTACTCCATGCATGTATGCTGATTTGCAGTCTTTCTCTATAAAAAGAGCCTGAACCCTTTGAGGGGTGTGCAGCTTTCCCCAAGATTGCTGACACCAAAGTGCACACTCGTTCAATAAACACCTCTTGCTTGTTGCATCTCCTGGTTTTTGTGTTTGTGTCACGGGGCACTCCCATTGACCCAACAGGACCCCGGAATTAGGATATTACCTGGTGAATTAAATTGATGAATTTTCTTATGTTGATCCATCTCTGCACCTCTGGAATGAAGCCTAATTTGTCATGAGGGATGATTTATTGGATGTGACCTTGGATTCAATTTGCCAGTATTTTGTGGAGTATTTTAGCATCAATATTCATGAGGGATATTGGTCTGTAGTTCTCCTTCTTAGTTATGTCTTTCTGTAACTTGTGAACCAATGTAATTGCAGCCTTGTAAAAAGAGCACAAAACTAAGTCCAAATTGATCATAGACATCAACAAAAATCCAGCCACATTACACCTCTAAGAAGAGAAAGTGGGAGAAAAATTTTATAGGAGACCACTTCCTGAACATAACACCAGTAACACAGACTTTGAGATAATTGGTTAATCCTTAAATTCCCTGTTAATGACACGGAAAATTATGCTTTGTTCACAATCATCATAGTACCAGATAAACATGTTTAAGATGTTACTTCAGAGATTCAGAATTTTAGCATTAATGAATGCACTTTTAATGAACTGATATATGTCTGTCTGTGAATAGTTTTCAAGAGCCTTTAAAATTCTGCGGAATTCACTGGTCCCAGCTTTATGAGACAGGAAACCATTATGAAGAGGATAGAAGGCTGCAGGTGTGTTCAGTTCTCACCTCTGCCTTCACTCACTCAACCTCTTCAATTCGGTCAATTTCCCCAGGTTTTCTTCTAAGCATAGATTTAAAGTTGTGTTTCATTAAAATAAACCCTGGACTTGGGAAATATGCCCATGCCTTTTAAACTAAAGCCATAGCCTTTTGTTATGATACCTAAGTAAAAATTTATGTCAACAACTTAAAATTACCTGAATTTTTCTGGGATGAGGGTGTCAAGCTGAACCTGCAAAAGACCCTCCAGATATGCTAGCCCCTGCTCTAGCTTCAAGGAAATCAACTGCGTAAGAATTGGAAGGTTGACTTTACTCAAGCATATATTCCATCAACTCTTATTACTTGTGGACACTTTTACAGTTTAGAAAGAGTGACATTTCCCATCTCCAGAAAAAGAACAGCTGTCATGTATCCTGTACTCCTAAAACATATCATCCCTCCATTTGCTGTCCCATCCACACAAGCTATAGGCTCAAGTGGGCACCTATACAGCAACTGAGTCATGCTTTTCAATATGTCCCAATGAAGGGCACATCTGCTCTCAAATCTTCCTAATTCACCCTTGTCTCTTTGAGTATCCAGTGCACATCCCCTTTTCCTTCTTTCTGGCACCCATTACTCTCCCCAAGGTTAGACCTGCTCATAGGTGAATAATCTGGGGCTTTTTGTTTTTTTGTTTGTTTGTTTGTTACATTTTTGGTCTTGGCAACTTGTCTTCTCTATTCCCTCAATGAATAGATATCTGATGTCTCCAGAACAGCAGCTAACCAACTGCTCCTTCACCCATACCGCCCTCTGAGCATGAGCCCAATGACTCATGATTCGTGAATCCCCATTGCCACCACATCCTACACCCACAGTACTATCCATACTTTGAACATGTTCCTATAAATATATGAAGTAAGTAATGTTTAGTTCGAAGCCTGAAATCTGCTCCATTTCTCTGTCTCTTTCCAGATCCTACCACTGGGAAAGCCCATCAAGTAGGAACTCTTCTCCCAGAGGGCAATCAAGGGTACCTCCTGAAAATCAGGCTCATGACTTCCTCTCCTTCCTGAGACTACACCAAAATGCTTTACTCAAATTGAAACCTGTGCTTCCATTAGGCTTGATTGGCTTATTATATCACCAGAGTTGCTCTCTACAAGAGGATCTTTTTACTTCTCAAATAGTCAATGAGATTCCTCATTCAGAGGTGACAGACCAGGTGGAGGTATCAAATTACTCCAAAGCATCATGCAGAAACTGAGCAGAGTTTGTCTTATGGACCTGAAACTCAGGTGGTGCCATTCCTAAAGTTCACTAAAGAAAATCTCATTTTTTTTTTTGAAATGCACTGAGAACACTGGTGTCTCAAGGTCTTCTCTCTGCAATCTTACTAAAAACTACAAAACTATTTTCAGGCAGCCTGATGTCGTCTGGTGTAGAGGATACTTTAAAAGTCAAAAGAGCCTATGCTGATGTGCAGTAGACTATAAGCGTCCAAGGATGCATACCTAGACTACTATGCCCATCAATATTTTCAATATTGATATTGACGACATTCCACAATAAAGGCAAATATAAGTATTACTCCAGATCTACAGCAAATGTTAGAAGGAAAACTCCATACTAAGGGGATTCAGTACAACCATAAATAATGCAGGGAATAAATAATCTCAGAGCAATAAATGAAAAAGTAGGGGAACACATAAACACACAAACATAACAACATCTAAAAAAGGACATTTTCTAAAAGCAACCTGCTTTAAAAGCATTCTGCTTAGATTGTTAAACATAATTTTTTACATATCTTTTAAAGTCCATCCTCAGCTTCATTTGCAATTAAATAATCATGTTATTTTCATTCATTCTTTTAGGAACATCTGGCAATCTGCTCCCAAATAAATCATACAGAGTGTAATTTTTTTTTACAACTGTCCAGCCTTAGCTTGGGTTGTTCCTAGACAAACATTCTTGACATAATTTTCACATCTAATTTTAGTCTCTAGACTTTGATATTTCTCTTACTTCTGTGTATCTTACTTTCCCTGGTACGCTATACATTGTAGTTTAATTGGGTGGCTGTATAGAAGGGTAGCTAGCCCCTGCCTACCACCTTTCCTTTTTTTCTTGTTCCTACCCTCTTGCAGATTTCTTCTTCTGTTATTTATACTCTCTGCCTACCAACACAACCTATCTCTGTCTCCTGTCTCACTATTGGCTGTTCAACTCTTTGTTAGAAGACCAGGTGTTTAGACAGAAAAAAAAACCTTCACAAAGTTAAACATATGCAACTTAAACAATAGTAATACACACTAAAATATTATTCTACAGCTTCCAGCAGCCCTGGATGGATACAACACTCCTCAACAATAAAAGGAACTCTGTAGGTCACATCATTCCCCACTAAAATTGTAGTTCAAAGATATGATAAACATAATAAAATATCATGGTGTTGGCATGAATCAAATGGGAAGACTCAAATCTACATACAGGATCCATGCCATTCTAAGAGGCCTGTGCTGCCCCTGGGAACAGCGTGACATATGGTTTCTGACTGCTGTGAGTATTGTGTCTGGCTACATGACACTCCTGTAGCCAGAGTCTTTCCCCAAATGTAAGTCTTTGGAGTTCTGATCAACATTAATGAACTGACAGGTAATCTTTGCTTTCTCAATCTGCTCAGTCAGGCACCTGTAAAACAGAATTACTGGTTTTCATTGGCTCCTGGTCAGAAAGTTCAGCCAAGTTCTTACATTAACAAATCACCCCTAGAATAACCACAATCCTTGGTAAACACTTAGCTTTATATTTTGGGGGTTATTAAAACCCCAAGATTCCCATATTCTTGATTTCCCTCAAACCACAAATGTGGTGGAAAATTACTTTTCATAATTTGATTCAAATTATAGGGGTGGAGGCCTTACTCTCCTTCACTAAGTTTCCCACCCATTTTGGCTCTCTTACTCCAGTTGTGTTATGTGCCTCATTCCTGGTCTAATTGTGTCTTTCTCATATACATAGATTACACTGTGGTAACCTCCAATCATCTCTAATAATTTGACAATGTAGCACCTGGAGTAGGCCTAAAGGACTTATTACCCAACCACTATAATATTTATAATATTTATAGCACACACATGGAGATCAATCTTTTGGGCCTAAATCAACTGGGAATCTTGGTTGAGAATAACATCTACATCTATGACTCCACTGTAAAATGTAAGGAGTTGTCAAAGGAGAACCAAAAGAGTCAGAGAGGAGGATACGTGAAGAGAGACGAAGACCAAGCCATTGAATCTGTTATGACCATGGTGGGGTGGAGGAAAGAATAATTTTTCCAATATATAAAGTCAGACCCACAGTTCAGGGGGATAAAATAATGATTCCCAATTAATCACTTTGCTTCTCTTTTACAAAATCTTTTCCAAAGTACAGATTATAAATGACACAGTCAGATGCAAGTACCTTCTTCCCCGTTGACATCCACATCTCCTTTTCCACATGAGCATGTGGGGTGAATGTCATCTGCTATGCAAACTGTAACTGCAATGACAGAGGAGTAATGGCTCTGTAGACCGGTGAGGCACTGAGGATGTTGCCTAAACCCCCAAAGCAGAGCAGAGGTGGATGGAGTACAAAAGGCTTCATCAAAGAAAAACACCATTGAATTAATAAAATAACTGTTAAAATTTTACACACTGCATATCATCGTAGATTAACAGAGATACATCTGAAAGACACACAGAGCATGTACCTTGAATGTCACACTCAGGAAAGGCAATACCAGAAATCACTCACTAGAAGTGGTCTTGATGCAAATAGCATGAGGAATTTTTATTCCAAGTGCACTGGAGTGCACAGTCATAAGACTGAGGACCTCCAGGGCAGAATTGATACAGTTTTCATAAGTTTACAACAAATCCCACACATAGGTCCCTCGGGTAGGGGTTTCACAAGCAGTTCATGCATTCAGGTAAGCAGTTAGGTAGCTGATCTTCTGTTATCTTACTAGGATATGATTATGTACTCAAGGGCTTGTCTGTGTAAACAGCAAGGAGCGTGAACTTGCCTATTTCCTGGCAGAGGACAGGGTCTGGAATTTGAATATTTTAGGGCTTTTTAGATAATATTTCTAAACTTTTAGCTTCCTGTGGTCATTGGCGAGTTAAGCTATATTTTTCCATCCTTACACATGCACCCTTACAGATAAGAGGTGTACTTCAATCATCTGGATCTCCAGATGGAGATGATTGAAAAGTCACACATGCATGATGAGAGAGAAACACAAGAACACTGATTGGAATGGGCAGGGGGTCAGGAAGTAAACAAAATCCCAGTATACAAATGTTGAACAAAACAATGCAGTACAGCAAGTGGGTAGAATATGCTAGGATACAGTGCTCCCCCTTACCGAAGCTGCCATTAAACTCATTTACAGCAGTATTAAAGGCTCGAGCCCCCATACTGTCTTTCTCCAGATTCTCTGTAAATGCTACACATGTCCTGTAGTCTACCAAGTTGTCCTTGGTAGTGAAGCTGGCTGCTGCTTCTGGAATGCACCTGTAGGTTACAGCTGGGAGGATCCAAAGTATGATTCAGGAGTTTGAGAGGGGGCACTAGTAAAGAGCTGTGGGCAGAGCCAGGGAGTTGTATGCATTAGTCACCAAATGGGGATATGAGAAAAACATTGTATTCCATCTTGAGGTCTCAGAGACTTATGAGGCATGAGCTCTAATCGAATCCAGTGTGCCTGGGTATTCAGGTTCCCTGTACTGTGCATGTCAGCCAGGATGAAAGTGTGGGCAGCATTCTCCTTGGAGAGTTTCCTGCACAGGGCATCCCCTCACATGACATTCATATGCTCCAGGCCATACTTGTCAGCAGGTGCAAGCACAGTATCTGCCATGCTGTCGAGGTCTGGTGCCTTTCTGGTTTGAGTGAATCCCATGATAGCTTTTGAAGACGAGAAGCTCCAGAACATGGATCTCAACGCGTTGTGCTCTGCTGTCCTCCATGTCATGTTGACACATGGCACTGAAAACCAGAGAGTGAGCTGCTAAGATGGCCTTGTGATCCGGGAACCAGGCATTAACCTGTGAAGAGGGAATTCTCTCACAGATATAGTAGCTCATCTGCCGTTGTAATCCTTGGCATCTAGATCTCTGGCTTTGTGCTCTGGTCAGGGATGTCGAAGGAGTGTTGGACAACAGTAAGTTGACTTCAAAGGCTCAGCTCATTGCCTTTAAGGAAGCAAGGACCTAGGACAAAAGGAAATCTCGAAGGATGAATTTTTTGAATCCCCAGTGGTGATATTTCAGGAACCTTAAGGAGCTTGGGCTTTTCATGCCTTCGATTTTCTATCCTTCGGATCTGATGATCCAAAATTGGAATTTTGCCCATACTGGGCTCTTTGGGGACCTGAACAATGTTAATAAACTGACAAGTAATCTTAACTTTCTTCCTCGACCCCATTTGCATGTACTTTCAAACATCATTGGTCTTTGTCACTGACTCCTGATGAGGTTAGGCTTGTAATGGCTTCCCTGCTTTCCCAGAGGACAAAACAGAAGGAGCTTATGGTCTAACTGAAGCAGAATTTCTGGAAGCTGATTTCTGTGTAGCCCAAATCTCGCCCTGACTTATCTGCTTTTGGTCATTTGAAGGTTAACCTAGATCCAAAATGAAGAAGTAGGACTTTTTTGTCTTCAACCTGGGGGGCACAAATATACATATCTACAACACAAAGAAAATAAAAGAGCCAGAGACTGATATTGGTGTACAAGCTCCAAGCTGAAAACCAGAGAGGCAATGCTGCCAAGCCACTATCTCTTGCCTACCTCAGTCTCTAGGAGCTCTACCTAGCTTCAGAAATCTGCCTATCCTCATCTCCTAGATATAATCCTGATACTGACTACACATGACCCCACTCCTATGTTTTCTACCACTCTAGTTCTGATTTCAAGGGCTTGAACTTTCTTACTGATTTAGATTCTTTCTCTCTTGGTTGTAGTCCTGGGTGTACTTGAACATAGAGAAACTCATCTGTCTTTGTCTCCTGGGTACTGAGATGAAAAATGACTGCCTGGTTTCCTAGCCTCACTGGTAAGGGTCTTTTGCTATATTGATCACATTAATAAATATACCTAACCTATATACCACCACAGATAGCTTTCAAACTTCTATTTTCTGCTTTCTTCACTGTTCCCAAAACTATGAGGCTAGAGTCTCTGGTGTCTCTGAAATTTTCTGTACAGACCTCAATATCAGTTTCAGAGAAGACAGTTTAAAGTACTTGGTAGCATTACTTCCCTCCATTTTCTTGTCTAGATTGAATCTGAGGACAAAGGATACATACTTTAAGACAATCATACTAACTGTTGAATGGTTTCTAACATTTTATAGGTCAAAAAGAGATGTACAGGGCTTCTCTAGAGCAACAGAATATATAGAAGGAACCTCTTTCTGCATGAAGAAAAGGGATTCATTAGAAATACTCTGGGCTACCAGTCTAAAATCCAGTACTTACGCAGTCCGGAATGTCTCCCCTGTCTGCTTGTCTTTTTTATATGCAGGAATTCAGAATATTACTTGTTAATGCCAGTGAAGGAACACACTTGCTTCAAGGTGAGTGCCAGTAGGCAAACATGACAGTCTTCCTCTGTTAGTGTCCCTTTATGGGCTTCCCCCCCCCAAGAGGGTGTGACCTCATTAAAGATCAACGTAAGGTGCCCTGACCTGTGGGGCAGTCAACGATGAACTGGGAGACACCTAAGGGTAATGAATGAGAAGCACAACAACAAGTCCATATTCTGATCAAGCTGTAAAACTTCATTTTCTCCAGGGAGGCTTATATAGGATCATGGGCAGATTGTGGACAGGGATTTGCAATTGGGCATACTGAAAGTGTGAGTAGAAGGAATGCCCTAAACTAATCTTTAACTGATGGTAAAACTGTAGCAGGAGTAATATCCTGAGCTATTTTTTAACTGTCTGTAAAGCTGCAACAAGAAAATTATCCTAAGCTATTCTTTAACTGGTTGTAAAACCGCAAGCCTGTATCGAGGAATGCTCTGCTAAACATTCTACTGGCTTACTTCTTAAGAGGCAAAAATTGTCTATTTCAGAGAAGTGAGGTATTGAGGATGGTGATGGTCCCAAAATCTCCCCACTCTAGTATAATAATAGAGATGAGCATCCAAGATGTTTCTCTAAGAGTAACTTAGGGCTGATGGTTGCCTGCCTTAGGATCATTCTGAGAGGCTCTCACCCATACAACTGTCTCTGGATATCTTTGACAGCCTTCAAAGTTCCTGTCTTAATTGTGTGGAGGCTGAGAAATGTACCCATGTTTTGCGAGCTGCCCCTGGGACAAAGATCTTCATTTTTATGTGAGAAGGTTCCTTCCTAAGTCCCCAGCTGGGGCTGCTCAAGGGTCTTGGTCTGAAGGCCATTTTGATTCAGGGGAAGAATAATGCTTGTTTAAGCTAAGGGTTAACTGGGAGCGTCAGGCGAATGTAACCTTCCCCATAGTCACCTTCACTCATGGCAAGCCTCTGATAGTGAATTTGAATTGGATTTGTGGCAAGGCTATCTATCTGTTGCTAGATAATATCTGTCCAATGCCTAACAGCCCATGCGACAAAAGAAAAAAAAAGCAATATATGACCCACAAAGGGGACCAGAATACTAGGCAATGAAGTGGATAACCAAGAGGAGGTAGAGAAACCATTTTTGTAACAGCTTTCTTGTTGCTTGCTCTCTCTTTTTCTTTTTTTCTAAACCTTCTCTAATTTTCTCATACTGTCCTTTACTTCTCCTGTCTTTCTGGTATAAAATCAGCATTCCTCCTTAAGGGCAGCACAGACAACTCCCTGCAGCAACAACAAGAGATCAAGTCCCTTCCTATTTTGGAGGATAACTTCGGGAAGGGAATCAAGGGAGACTGCAAGGTAATCTATACCCTCTTGAAATCGCTGGACATCTTCGTTGATAGAGAAGCATAGTTCAGAATACCTTTTGCTGGATAAAACAAGGGAATAAATGTCTGTCCTAGCTCCAATGTCACCTAGGGTGAGGAGAAGGGAGATGATGAGGGCAGAAATAGGCTCTCTGCACTGCCTAGGGAGGGGATAGCAGTCCCTTTCCTCCCGTAAGGGAAGGAAGTCATTAGGGCAATAGTAAAGCAGGTGAGGAGATGTGTCTGCAGTATCCTTTTGTGCACCAGGAATACATCCTGGTTCTCCTGTCTGAAGTCCCTTAGACAGCTCAGTTAAAGGCTGAGACCCATATTCAGAGAGGACTGATTAAGTCCCATGCCAGATTCCCACCTATCAGTCTGGCGGCCCATTAGCTCCTCCTTGTTTATGTCACCTGTCTCTGTGTTTCTGCAACCTAGTATGTCCTCTCCCTATGCATCTGGATTCTAGTTTGACTCAGTGTTTAGATATGTGTGTTTGCTTCTGTTTCCAACAAGTACTAGATGAGGGCTCCATGATGGTGGATAAGTAAGTTGTTGACCTCACTATCTGGGAATGGCATTTATGGTAGCCTTTCCAATTGCCTGGGAATTTCAAGATTCCATTGTTTTTTTTTTTTCTGCACAGTATTATTCCATTGTGTAGGTGTACCAAATCTTTATCCATTCTTCAGATGAGGGGAATCTAAGTTGCTGTCAGGTTCTTGCTATTACAAATAATGTTGCTATGAACATATTGAAAAGGTGTCTTTGTTGCATGGATATGAATCCTTAGAGTATATGGTGAAGACGGGGAGTGCTGGTTCCTGTGGTAAATTAATTCCCATTTTCCTGGGGAACCACCATACTGACCTCCAAAATGGCTGTACAAGTTTGCACTCCCACCAGCAGTGAAGGAGTGTTCCCCTTTCTCAACTAAGTATTCAGCATAAATTGTCATTGGTGTTTCTAATTTTTAGTCATTCTGGCAGGAGTAGGATGGTATCTCAAAGTAGTTTTTATTTCCATTTACCTGATCGCTAAGGATGTTGAACACTTTCTTAAGTGTTTTTCAGCCTCTTTGATTTCCTCTATTGAGAAGTTATTCTTCAGTTCCATACCCCATTTTTTAACAAGGTTATTTGGTTTTCTGCTGACTACTTTCTAGAATTTTTTTTTGTATATTTTGAAGATCAGCCCTTTGTCAGTAACAGGATTGGTGAAAATCTTTTCCAGGAGAGGTGAGTCTGGGCCCAATCGGGGTGGCTGCTCCTAGACAATCTCTCCCAGCCCCGAACTCCCTGGATTGGCCCCTGATCCCACTGCTCCTGTGTTCTGTCCCCATCCAGAGCACCCTTGGAGCCCTGATATACCCCCACCCATCCCCACTGTGAACCTGTCCCCATATTCTGTGCCCTACCCTGACCATTGTCCCTCTGCTCTGGTTGAGCACTGGGACAGAGGGTAGAGCCAACAGTCCACTCTACTTTGAGACTACTTGGACCAAATCTGAACAAAGGAGACCTGCCTATCTACATTGGACAACCCGTAATTACAACCTGTTTCGTCTCTGACCCCACCTGCAGTCTTCTGCTGGAGTTAGGACCCTCACAGGTATCTGTCTATCTCTGCGGGTCTACTCTAAGTTCCTGCCGGCAAGATCCTTGACCCCCAAAGCAGGGCCTATGCTAAAGAAAGAGACCTCAGCTGGAGAGTGCCATTTTCCAGAGAGATCATACTATCATGCAGAAACTTCCCAACTTTCAGCTCAGCCTTTGTCCTCTTCCACCAGCTAGTGGCATCTTCTACTGGATTCTCAGCCCTGACTCCATCCCTGGGTTCTGTTTGGAGAGAGACCTCCTATAGAGCTTGGACCATACAGAGCTACAGATATTGAATCTCTGACCCACATAATACCACCGGGGAAGTACCATAGAGAGAGGGGGAGACCC